GGTTTAGTTGATTATTTGACACCACAACTCTATTGGCAAATTGATCCGCCAGCACAATCTTATCCTGTTTTACTTAATTGGTGGGTAGAACAATCAGTTAAAGGTCGTCATATTTATCCAGGTAATGCACTTTATCGAACGGTTCCAAGTGTTTCTGATTGGTCATTAAATGAAATTATTCGTCAAATTTATATAACTCGATCAATGCGTGATCGACTTGCACTTGGTAATGTTTTCTTTTCATTGAGTCAAATTATGCAAAATGTCAAAGGCATTCAAAACATGCTTGCTTTAATTTATCAAGAAAAAGCTGTTGTTCCAAAAATGAATTGGTTGTAGAGAAAAAAAATTTTTGATTGTATGAAAATAGTTGTGTTTAGAATAAAAGATTAAGGATTATAATTTTCAATATACTAATATATTATATATCTAAAGTATATGATAAATTGTCATTGTATACTCCGTTGTAGTCAACAGTTGACGAATTTAAGTATTTACTAATTCATACTTAGATAAAGATATGTTAGTTAACTGTATTTATGATGCTTATTGATCAATATTGTGGAAATAGAAAGGATTTGAATTAAAGTAAACGATGAACTAATGAGTATTATTCAGTTTTTTATTTGAAAATGTATGACTTTGTTTAGAACTAGTTACTGAGAAACAAAAAAAAATATTTTGAATAGTTAATATTTGAGATTGTTCATCATGTGAGTGTTTCCGTTCAAATTGGTTTGAATTTGTCAAAAATATATCATTTCATGTTGAAATTACATAATTCAGACGAAGGTCGTTGAATACAACGAAATATTGTTGTATAAGTTGGTTCAGGTGCTGCTGGTAAAAATGATGAAATTGGTCGTTGAGCAGGATTAAGTGAAAGATAATTATTTGAATTCTAATAGAAAGAAGAAGATGCAATAAAAACTGATGCTATTGCAAGAAGAGCCGATGGTGGTTTAACTAAATAAATGAAAAATATTTTCATAAAAAATAAAAAGGATATCTATACTTTGTGTTTCCTCACGATTTGACCAAGGCGATGATGATTATTTATTGGATTCTGAACATGTACTTCAGCAATGTTTGTATTATGTTGTTGTTTATTACTATTTGACATTTCTTCCGATACCACTTTTTGGTAAACAAGAATTAATGTTTTATATTTAGTATTTATAGGTATATAGATGAAATAGGTGTCGATTTATGTTTATTTTATTTTCGAGAAACTGTTGATCAATTAATTTTGCTTTTTGGTTTTGTTTTGATAAAGATTATGAATTATTAACAATTGAAATATTTTCTATTGATCTATCAGATTTAATATTGTTTCATTTTCATTCATATTTTTATTTTTGCTTTATTTTCAATAGACGAATTTGATTGATCTGATGTATTTTGTTTCAGCATCACATGAATTAATTATTGTTGGATTGTTTTATAAGGGCATACAAGTAATGAAATCATTTGTATTTGAAAAAGATTTTTATAAATTGGTTGTAGATTCAAGAGAAAATAATAATGTTGAAAATTTATTTGATGTTCGGATTTGATAAGAAAATTGTTCAAAATTTTTATATATAAAATTTCAATCAGTTTTAATTGTTGATGCTAAATAAAAAAACAAATAGATCAAAAAATTTATAAAAGAAAATATTTAATTTATGATTAATCTAATTTTTGTAATAAATTTATATTTAAATCTGCTTGATTTGTTGAAGATATTGATTTTTCATAGACGTTACTGAAAAACAAATGCATACGGAGAGAATCTTATTAGAAATTTTATCATAATAATCATAGACAAATTATGTAAGAGTTTTACTTGTAGAAAAATATACAATTAAAATTCAATTTTAATTATAATGGTATTCGTACAAAATCTTGAAGAGTTGGAATATAGATATATGTAGTGTATTTACTCTATATTTATACGTATAAATGGCTGTTTACGAGCATATCTGCTCAATATATATATATATAAATCTTGTATCGATTGGGCAAATAAATATTTTGTAAAATATACAAAAAATTTAAAATCATTCCATATGTTTTTTTTGTGGTTGCATCAGACGTATTTACGATATTAAATCATCTAATAATATTTCCAAGAGAATTCATATCGAAATCTTGCTAGTTCCATCATAATTTCTTAAAAAAAAAGAATATCGTTGTGACTATATTTGTCGTTTTTGTGTATGTTTTTCTCTCTTAATAAGTTAACGACGAATTTGATGAGTCAGATGTAATTTTTTGCGCATCTTTCGTTATGTGGTAAACGTCAGCACATATATTGCTTGTTTGTTCATTACCCCTTACAAAATATCACCAAATAATCTTTATTTACAAGACGGATAAAGAAAAATTGCTTGAATAAATCATTTTCTAAATCACCACCTGGACATATTTTGTTATTACGACGCAATTGCCTAAAATATATTTTTTCTTTTGTCTTCATCCATTACAATAAAGGTAATGTTTATTACGTGGACGATAAACAAAATCATTGTCTACGTATGCGCACTTTCATTTTTTTTATGTCATGGTTTTCTTTGAATTGAAAGAATAGAATATATGTTTGATTGATCGATTTACCAAAAAAAAAAGACAGATATGAGCTTCTCCGATTGGTAATTAGACTATTACATTTGTTAATATTTCTTACCTGTAAAATTAAAAATCAACCATAATATGTCAACTCTTCTATATAGTGAGTCATTCATGTTTTCATTCAGACGAAGAAAAAAAAAGTTTATACGCCAGTCATCATTGCAATTAAAAATAGATATAAAAGTGTGCTTTTTGTACTTTTATCTTTTTTTGATCATATTTGTTTATATTTGTGTAGTTAGTTCTTTCATTTATTCTTTCTCTACTTCAATCTTCGTGAGCATTATTAAAGGGGTAATTACGACTAATGGTATTTCTATTTAGTTTATAATATTTTACTGAAGAATTTTTATATTACAATATCTTGCTCTAAAAAAATTGTTATTTTGGATTATACATATTGTATTTACTAGTGAGAAATAAAAGAATTAGTTCACAAAACAGATTGAGAATAATTTTACTATACACATTATAGTAAAAGATTATAGGAGTTGACTGAGAGTATGTATTTAAAATGAAGAAACAAAGGATAGCTACTATATCCGAAAGATTGAATAAACTCATTGCTGATAAAAAATATTGATTGATTTTAATTTCAATTTTTTAGATTGGTTGTAACAACTATCTATACGCGACAAGTATTTGATAATAACTCAAGTTATTTTTTTTATTAACAAAAAACGTGCACATACATACGAGTGCATAATGGAATCTGATATAAATCAGGTATGTTACAGTTGTTATTATAACAACAACAAAAAGCATTTTTATTTTAAAAATACTGAAATCAAAGAGTGTAAAATATCAGTCTCTTGAGAACCATTTTGAACTGAAAAAACTCATTATCTTCTTTTTTTGTTTATGATTAAAAATTTATTTTGATGGATTACATAGTTTTACATCAGATAATACATGAAAAATAGACGATTTTAATTTATATAGATTTTTTATTGACATGATATAAGTAACAGAATTTTTTTCTTGATTAATTATTCATACTTTCTTCGAATATATCCATCTTTTGAGAGAAATGCAAAATTACAAAGTAACAAATAAACTTCAGCATTTAGTATATCAGGTCAATATCTATCTAATTACTGTCTTCATCTAGATTGAAATGACTTGCATCAATAATGATGCTAGATCAATTCAAGGATCAGTTGCTATGCAACAGTCGCCTATTAATATCGAAGAAAACTTACATCCAAATCTAAATACACATGTAGCAACCGTACGTAGCAAGCATACCATGAAGCAGGAAACAAAATTAATACCGCCATGGAATCTGTAAGTCTTTTTTATGCTCTAATCTTGCATATAATATTGATGCATTGTTTTAGAAAACGTTTTTACTGGTCAATATCAGATTCAATGGTTCGTGCCATTGGATTTTTTATATTTACATGTATTATAATGACCACTGGTATCTTAATCGTTTGTTTTACTGCACCAAAATCACACGGTAAGTTCTTATAACATTTGAATCACTACTCTATTAGTTTTGATCGAAGCAAATACACCGAGATCTATCTCCTACTATTTGATAATTTTTATTGTATTATTTAGAACAAAAATGTAATTTCAATATTTCACGAACGGCTACAAATCCAATTGAATACAACTATGGCCCACGATCTGTTGCTGTTGGTGATTTGAACAATGACACTTGGATAGATATGGTCGTTGCTAATTCGATTGTTAACACTATCAGTATATATTTTGGATATGAAAATGGTACATTTATCAAACAGATTGAATATTCAACTGGTTTAGGCTCCAGTCCTAATATGGTTGCAGTTGGTAATCTTAATAATGATTCTATATTAGATATTGCAGTTGCAAACTTTGGTACTAATAATATTGGGATATTTTTTGGATATAAAAATGGATCTTTTATGAATCAAGTACACCTCTCAACTAACAGATCGCGTCCAATATCAATTTGTTTAGTTGATTTGAACAACGACACAGTACTTGATATTGTTACCGTTAATTCTGGAACCCATAGTATAAGTATATTCTATGGTTATGGAAATGGAATGTTTTCGAATCCAACAATGTATTCAACAGGTTATGACTCACTTCCATATGCATTAGCTGTTGAGGATTTCAACAATGATAATTATATAGATATTTCCGTTGCAAATTATGGAACAAATAATATTGGTCTATTTCTTGCTAATAGGAATGGTACTTTTGAACAACAGATAACTATTTCAACGGGTTATGGTTCTCATCCATCCTCAATAGCTGTTGGCAATTTCAATGATGATACATTTGTTGATATTGCTGTTACCAATTATGGAATAAGCACAGTCGGTGTATATTTAAGCAATGGTAATGGAACGTTTACAAATCAAATGAAATATTCTATAAATTCTGGCTCACCATGTTCGATTGGTGTTGGTGACTTTAATCAAGACAATCATTTAGACTTATTCATTATTACTATTGGTGCTAATAATACAGGTCTACTTCTTGGATATGGAAACGGTAGTTTTTCGAATGCAAGAATGAATTCAACTGGATCGACTTCATCGATCTCTTTTGCTATATGTGATTTCAACAAAGACAAACGATTGGATGTTATCGTTGTTAATAATGACACTAATAGCATAGATATTCTCAAAGGTTACTTCGAAGGCTTTTCATTACCCAAATATTATTCGACTGGATATTACCCATATTCTATAGCTCTTGGTGATTTTAATAATGATGGTAAACTAGATTTAGTTACTGCTAATTATTTGAATAATTCGATAAGTGTTCTTCTTGGGAATGGGAATGGTGCCTTCGCAAAACAAAAGACATATTCAACTGGTGCTTCTCCATGTTTTGTAGCTATTGGTGATTTTAACAACGATACTTATTCAGATCTAGCTGTCACCAATTATAATAACAGAAGTGTCAGTATTTTTCTTGGATATGGGAACGGTTCCTTTGCAAATCAAAAAAGATTTACAACTGGCACTTCTCCACGATCTTTGGCTGTTGGTGATTTTAATAATGATGGTCAGTTGGATTTAGTTGTTGCCAATTATAATAGTTTATATGTGAGTGTTCTTTTGGGTTATGGTAATGGTTCGTTTGCAAATCAAATGAGATATATAACTAGCACTTATTCATACTATGTAATTACTGGTGATTTCAATAACGATACTCTATTAGATCTAGTTATTACCAATTATGATGTCAATAATATAAGTGTTATTTTTGGATATGGTAATGGTTCGTTTGCAAATCAAACAACATATAGAACTGGTACTAATCCACGGTCTCTGGCTACTGTTGATTTCAATAACGATGGTCAATTGGATCTAGTTGTTGCCAATTATGGTAGCAGTAATCTAGGGATCTTTCTTGGATATGGCAATGGTTCATTTGCAAGTCAAATTCCGTATGGAACGGCTTCACTACCATATTTTGTAACTGTTGGCGATGTCAATAATGACACCTATCTGGATATTGTTTTTGCTCTTTATGGTATTGACAATGTATATGTTTTATTTGGGTATGGAAATGGTTCTTTTGGAAACCAAATCTCATATTACGTTGGCTTCGCAGGGTACTGGTTAGCGATTGGTGATTGCAACAACGATAACCGATTGGATATCGTCGTACCAAGGTATGATAGTAATTATGTTGGTGTGTTGCTTCAATCTAATCGTGGAGCTCTTGTAAATGAAATTACTTATGCATCAGCTGGTGGTTCTAGATTGCGATCTATTGCCGTTAGTGATGTGAACAATGATACTCGGCTAGATATTATTGTTAGTAATTTGGGTACTGACAATTTAGGTATTCTTTTCAATAATGGTGACGGCACTTTCAAAAGCCAAGTGTTCATCGATATGGACTCAAATTCTCAGCCATCAGTAATTACCACCAATGATTTTAACGGTGACACTCAATTAGATATTGCTGTAGCCACCTATAATACAAAGCAAGTAGGTATGTTAGTTGGAAATGGGCGAGGATTATTTATAAGTCAAGCAATTTATCCAGTGCCTTTAGCATATCCTCCATTAACCATTTCGTCTGGTGATTTTAATAATGATGGACGATCAGAAGTCGTTGTTGGATATGGTGACGGTAATAGTGTAGATATTCTTGTTACATATAACAGTGGATCTTTTACAAATCAAACGATCTATCCAACTGGCTCCAGTCCATACTCTGTAGTAGCCCATGACCTCAACAAAGATAATCAGTTAGATTTAGTTGTTACCAACTATGGTAGTAATACTATAAGTGTTTTTTTTGGATATGGCAATGGATCATTTGCAAATGAAACGATATATCCAACCGGTATTAAACCACTATCACTGGCTGCAGGTGATTTCAACAATGATGGTCAGTTGGATCTAGTTGTTGCTAACTACGATAGCAATAATGTCAGTATTTTTTTGGGATATGATAATGGTTCGTTTGCAAATCCAACAACTTTTCCAACAGGTACTAATCCCTATTCTGTAGCTGTTGGAGATTTCAATAACGATACTCAATTAGATTTAGTTGTTGCCAATTATGGTAATAATAATACTGGTGTTTTTCTGGGATTTGGTAATGGTTTATTTGCAAATCAAATTACATATCCTACTGGTACTAATCCACGATCTGTGGCTGTTGGCGATTTTAACAATGATGGTTGGTTAGATATAGTTGTTGCAAATTTTCTTTCTAAAAATGTTGGTATTTTTTTTGGATATGGGAATGGTTCCTTTGCAAATCAAACGACTTTTCCAACTGATTATCATCCATACTTTGTAGCTGTAGGTGATGTCAATAATGACACTCTACTGGATATCGTTGTTGCTACGGTTGGTTATCGCACTGTCAGTATTCTTTTAGGGTATGGTAATTGTTCTTTTGCAAATTTCACGAAATGTTCAGTTGGCATTGTCCCAGAATCTTTAGCTGTTGTTGATATCAACAATGACGCTCGATTAGATATCATTGTCACAAATAAGGGTAGCAACTATGTGAGTGTATTATTAGGATATGGGAATGGCTCGTTTGTACCTCAACTTACATACTCAACAGGCGTTGCTCCACAATATGTAGCTGTTGGTAATTTTAACAATGATACACTACTTGATATAGTTGTTACAAATTCAGGTGATAACAATATTATGATACTATTTGGTTGGTTTAATCAAGTTTTTATAAAGCAAAATGCAGTTTCCACTGGTAAAGATTCTCAGACACGATCTATTGTTGTTGGTGATTTTAATAATGATAATCATATGGATATTGGAGTAGCAAATTCAGGTACTAATAATATTGGTATTTTTCTTGGATATGGCAATATTACTTTTACAAATCAAACAACATATTCAACTGGTTCAAATTCATCTCCATATTTTTTAACAATTGGCGATTTTAATAATGATACTCAAGTAGATATTGTTACTGCTAATTATCAATCCGATACAATAAGCATTTTTCTGGGATATGGTGATGGTAGATTTGCAAATAAGACATCTTACTCAACTGGTTCATCTTCATCTCCTTACTCTGTAGCTGTTGGTTATTTTAATAATGATACTAAACTTGATATTGTCGTGGTTAATTATAATAACAACAAGATAGGTGTCTTTCTTGGACAGGGTAATGGTATATTCGATAGTATAATGCTATTTGCAATGCCATATGGCTCTCATCCATTTTCTGTTCTTACCGGTGATTTTAGTAGTGATGGAAAATTAGATTTTGTCGTGGCAAATAATGGTACTGACAGTTTAAGTCTTTTTGTTCAGACTTGTTAATTTTGTTTTTTTTTGCTTTATTCTCTTTTTATTCTTCAATTTTAAGTTTATATCTAATATTTTTACTTTCTTTTTATTAATAAAATTTCAGTATGAGTCTTATAGAAAGAAAAGTCTAATACAAACGGCGCAGAATTAAAACTTTTATTTATTTTAATTTGATTTTACGAGAAAATAGTTCTATTTTCTTTAATAGAAAGCCTTGAATCAAATTTAATTTTATATTTTTAGGTTTGACGATTATACTAATTAACAACATCAGCCTCTTCTTGGATGATGGTGACATTAGTTGATTCTTTAAGCTTTAACATAAAAAAGAAGATTCAAAATGATTGAATAGTGTGTATTAATATCATAGTTCTTAGTCTTTATTATTATTATTTGCCTTCAATTCTGATCTGATCTACAAAACTAGTTCTAGTAAATTTATCAAGTATGGAAGTTAATTCATTCGAATTAACAATATTATTTATAAGATGAGATTTATGAAATTCTTCTAAAACTTCTCGATACTCGTGCACTGAACCATTTTTTCTTACAGCTAATAAATAGATAGATGACAATTGAACAGTATTATCGAAAAAAAATATACCATTGAAAGATGTACAATAATAGTCATAAGTAAATAATAAAAATTCTTTGAATCTCTATTTTGGAAGCACAAAAAAGAAAATTCACTTATTTATACATAATCTAAATAATCATTTCAATGCATAGATAAATCAATTTTAATTGAAAGAACTTCATCTGCTACAACTAAATTTGATTTCGTTTGTCTTCACATGTATACCTAACTGCAATGTAGTAACATGTTCTATGAATAATATATATATATAAATAACAAGGATCAAATCGATAGGATTTTTTTAGTATCTGAAAGTCAAAGAAAACAAAGCATTGCGTAAATCGTACATAATATAATATACATTTACATTGTGTTGACTAATAAAACAAAATGACAACATTAAGAATACATAATATAGAGAAACAGATTAATTCATTGAGAAAAACAAATAATACACCTATACAAGAAAAACAACGTTAGCTGAAGGAAAAATATTTTCATCTTGTTTGTGTTCATCTTTAGCTTTGTAACAGTATATATAATTAAATTTATGAAGATAAGATTTAATAATAAATAAAAGAGATGATTTTTCAGATTGTTCATCTATTGAAGTCGAAGATTTGTTGTTATTGAAATAGATCGTCTAACAAATAAATGAAATTTAAAAAATAATAGATTCTAATCCACAAAAAAATATGAATTCATTTTATTCGACTATAAAGAAAAGTAAAAACTTGAAATAATTTATTATAGCAGTTTGATTTTCCAACATTTAACAATCAGTTTTAGTCCATATCTATCGATCTCTTTTACATATTCAGATTAGCGAAAGATATTTTTTTAGAAACAATCACATGTCTATCACACTTCCTGTTTAAAATAAATTATGATAAGAAAATCTTATTTATGTACAAACTGTTTAATTCTAGAGCATAGAAAAGAAAAACTTATTTCATTTTCTTCCTAATTTTCTGAATAAAAAAGAAATTTTGTTGTGTTTCAAAATGAATTTCAGATGCTTTAAATGAACAATGAATTAAAAGATTTATTGTATTCTTGTTCAGTGTACTCTTCAATGGCGATACTATCGCTTGTTTCTTGTTTTCAATTTTTTTCATAAAAAAGTTTATCAACTTTGACAGAACTGGAAGAGTAAAAGACGAAGTTGGTTCGTATATTTCTGTTTTATTTATACCAGTTGAAATTTGTATATATTTTACAACTGTAATTAATAGTCATATGGGTAAAAATCCATGATCGAAAGGAGTCTTTATCATTCTTCAATTCAATTTTAGACCGGCCTTTATAATAAGTATTCTTTTGGAGAAAATCAATGGATTAAGATAAAATATCTCTAAATTTTAGTGAATCACAGAAATGATAGAATTCACTCGAGTCTAAAAAAATCTACTAAAGTTTATCAGAATACGAAAGGAACTCAGCTGATTCATATAAACACCACACGTTATTGTCACCGTTTTTGCTCATCGATTTCATTTTTTCGTACACAGGTCTCTTTAAGAAAGACGACATTGCTTCCTGTTACCTAAATAAATCGTATTGGAATTTACAAATAAAAACTGATCCTGAACTCTGATGGATCTTTGTGAATTTCAATGAATTTCCTGTAGAAATCATTAGAGTTCAAAAGGATCCTGATTCTTTCAATTCATTTTTCTTCGCTAGCAAAAAAAAATGAAACTTATTTAATTGTCATAGAAATTGATTCTTGAATGAACTTATGCATTGTAGATATCTCAAAGACTATCACATTCTGCAACTACTTTGAATAGTGTATGCCGTCATAGACTTCCAAATAAACATTCATTTCGAATTTTGACCGTTTTCCTTTTCTTTTATTCTGAAAAATAATCTTGTACTCAAAGAGTTAAAGAGAAATAGATGGAGAAAAGTGATTTAAGTCAATATGAGAATTACAAAGATTATTTTAAGATTTGAAGCAAAATTTTTTACCAGGTCATGTGTCTCATGACACGGTAATTTTTTTTTGGGCAATACTGTGAGATGCGATGAATTGAATCAAGTTGTCACATGCAACGATTTTTTCATCCCGTCCTATCCAATCTCACTTGGAGCTCTCACTACGATCAATTTTCAACTACAATGGACATCTCTGATATCATTTTCTTTACTTATATACAAAAACAATATGTTTTTTTTTTGTGAATATATTTGATTTTAACATCTACTTACCTTCATATCCATTAAGTATTCAACAACACGATAAATTAATAATAAAGTTGCAAATAATACTGCAAAAAACATAATATAACCCGATAATCGTGTTAAACCATTTGTTGTGCTCTATATAAATTATTTAGAATATGCATTATATTAATTGACAAACATCATCTACGTACAATAAAATATATGAAACCTTTTAACATCATGATGACAAGCACAAATTCCACAGTCCAAACCGGAAGAAAGATTAATGGATGAACACGAGAAGACCATGGTGAATATAATTTACGATTTTCTTCACACGATTTAGATGATGAATTCATTTGAATCTTTTCACTATTCATCTAAAAGAATAATAATATTGTGACGGATTCTAATTCGCCCATCGTTTATGTCTTTCTTTCTCTTTATTTCCTCTCTCTTTGTTCTCTTCGCATACATCTATAAACAGCTATGCTGGCGTATTGTCAGTCAGTCAGCCACTTCTGATTTATTTTCCTTTTCTCTCCTGTTCATTTTGTTCCCTTTCTTTGAATATATGATAGACTAGAGGATAAACATTAACATTTCTGTCATAGCTAGAATTTTCAATAAGAAAACACAAACAACAAGAAAAGGCATAAGTTATTTTTTACATGAACTTTTTTTTTCTTGGTCGCAATAGTAAAATGTTCTCTAATTTATTTAGTTGGAGATGAGCTCTTTTTTTATTTAAGATCCTACCAGCAGTGGCAAGTTCTTTTCTTGTATCAGTTATCATGGCAGGGATAGACAAAATTGAACAAGTTTATTTATAATTTATTATTGATTTTTAGCTCACAAAGACTTTAAAATATTCTTTTTGCAAATGAAAATTCGGAAACTTTATATTAAAATTTGTCGAGTATGAAAATGACATACTTTTCTTGCTGTGGTTCTGCGCAACTTTACCCTGTTCTGGTTCAGAACAAGGTAAAATCTTTTTTTTTTCACACTGCCCTATGTCCGTCTCTGGTATACACATTAACATAACATTGTTACAAACTATTTTTATAATAAAACTATTATTAGAATATATTACTGATCTTATTCAATTCTGAAATATTTTTCAATAAAATAAACTTAATTAAAAGGACGGAGGCCAATAAGAACATAAATCGGCCCACTGACTTTTTA